CATTCAACACACACAAGATCCGCATGTCAGTCATGGCCAACACTCACACATCATTCAACACACACACAAGATCTGCATGTCAGTCATGGCCAACACTCACACATCATTCAACACACACAGGATCTGCATGTCAGTCATGGCCAACACTCACACATCATTCAACACACACAGGATCCGCATGTCAGTCATGGCCAACACTCACACATCATTCAACACATGCAGTATCCACATGCCAGTCATGGCCAACATTCACACATTAAACACACTGTATCCACATGCTAGTCATGGCCAACACAGCTGTCACAATGCTCAGCAACATGAGGGCAGAAATACCTTCTCCAGTGACAGAATTTCTGTTTTCTGATAAAGTTGTCTGTTCTGGGAGAGAAAAGCTAGCACCTGCATTAAAGCCTTCTGAGTACAATTCAGGCTGATTCGTGTGTGTTCCTCGTCATCACACCTAGAAAGAAATCAGCTATTTGACTAAGGTAAAGTAGTTCAAATACCCCACAGTCTATAACCTGCTACAAACATTTACATGAAACCAAAGATGTGATCAGCAGAACTTGCTCAATCCCAACCAACAGTGTTCTCAGACTGTGCTGCCTCGGAACCTGCTGACATCTTAAGCCTAATAACAGTGACTGAATCCTTCAACAGGTCCAGGAAAATAGAACATCTATAGCCAGAGACAGAGAAAATGGAAACTTTATTTTTTACACGTATGTGTGCATGCACATGTGTGTGTGAGTACATGACACAGTGTGCACGTGTCACGGTGTAGGTGTGAATCAGAGTACAATTTGTGGGAGTTGATTTCCTCTTTCTTTTTTTCTTAAATATTTATTTATTTATTTATTGCACATTTGTCTTTGTGAGGGTGTCAGATTCCCTGGAACTGGAGTTACAAACAGTTGTGAGCTGCCATGTGGGTGCTGGGAATTGAACCCGGGTCCTCTGGAAGAGCAGTTGGTGCTCTAAACCAGTGAGTTATCTCTCCAGCCCTCTGATTTCCTCTTTCTACCATGCAGGTCCCAGGGATCAAAACCAAGTCCCATCAGGCTTGGCAGCAAGTGTCTTCACCCTCCCAGGGTAAATTTCAATGACCGAATCCAAATTATACAGAAAGGAATGAAGCCACAAATCTGCATTGACAGTAAGTACCCATGAAGGACAGACAGACAGTCCTTGAGCCACATTCTGAGATGCAGGGCTCTAGGGATTCTCAAAACAAAGCACTGTTAAGAGTCTTACAGAAAAGCATGGGGCCATGTGCCTGTAACTCCTCCACTCAGGAGGCCAAGGCAGAAGGACTGTGCTGAGTTTAAGGCCAGACAGCAGCATATAGCCAAACCCTGCCTCCAAACAAAAACCACACACTGAGTTTTAGTGACCACAGAATTCTAGAAACAAAAGGCACCTTAGAAGGTAATCTGACCCGGTGGGTAGCACACGCCTATAATCCCAGCACTTGGGAAGGAGAGGCAAGATCAGGAGGTAGAGGCCAACCTGGAGTACATGAGACTTGCTACCTCAAAGTCAAGTGTAGTGATGAACACCTTTGATCCTAGCTCGTGGAAGGCAGAGGCAGGGGGTTCTCTGTGAGTTCAAGGCCAGCCGGGTCTATATAACAGCTAGGACTATATAGAAGAGACCATCTCAAAAAACAAACCAATAAAGAAAACAAAAAGACAAAGTCAAACAAACAAATGGGCTGGAAAGATGGCTTAGCGGTTAAGAATGCCTGTGCTCTTTGCAAAGGACCAGAGTTCAGTTCCCAGCACCCATAGCACGCCATTTGTTAAAAAAAAAAAAATGTGTATGCCCGGTGTGGTGGTGCGTGTCTTTAATCCCAGTACTCTGGGGGCAGAGGCAGGTGGATCTCTGTGAGTTTGAGGCCAGCCTGGTCTACATAAGAACTTCCATGACAACCAGGGGTATATAGTGAGATAGTGAGACCCCTGTGTCAAAAATAAATAAATAAAACCAAAACAACATGTAAAACAAAACTATATTTCTTTATATTCCTATCTATGTATGGTTAGAAGGATACCTACTTCTCAGCAGGGTGGGGTGACACATGCCTGTACCCTAACACTTGAAAGGCCGAGGTTAAAGGGTCAAAAGTCTGAGGCCAGTGTGGGATACAGAAGTCCCTAGTTCTCTGTAAACAAGGGAAGGATTGTTTGGACTGAGTCATTTTTTTATACATCAGGGGTGTGTGTACACCTGTGTGCATGCGTGTGTATGTGTGTGTGTGTGTGTGTGTGTGTGTGTGTGTGTGTACATGCACACCACAGCACACGTGTGGATATCAGAGGACAACTTTTGGGACACGGTTTTCCTACCACCATGTGGGTCCAGGGATCAAACTCAGGGCATGAGTCAGCAACTTTACCCACTGAGCCATCCCAAAAGCTGTTGTTTAGACTTTTAGATTTTTAATTTTAATTTTTTTTTTTGAGACAGTTTTCTGTGTAGCCCTGGCTGTCCTCAAAGTCACAGAGATCTGCCTGCCTCTGTCTCCCAAGTGCTGGGTTTAAAGGCGTGTGCCATCATGCCCAGCCTTGTTTGAATTTTTTAGTGCCTTACTTTCAATTTATTTGTTTTTTTATTTAAGTATTGCATGGTATTTCAGTGTGGCAGAATACTTCCGGTGATATCAAACCACTCAATGTTCCAAGAATGACGGTGTTTTAGAGCCTGGAAATTCCACCCAGACTACTGTAGGATATTTGTAATGATTTTATGATAAAAAAAAAAAATCTGTATTTAATGCAGGGGGATGGAGCTCAGTGGGAGAATGCCTGTCTACAATGCATAAAGCAAAAGCAATCTATACTTAACCATTATTCTGGGGGCCCGAGAGATGGCTCGAATTAAGAGCACCAACTGCTCTTCCAGAGGACCCGGGTTCAATTCCCAGGACCCACATGGCAGCTCACAACTGTCTGTAAGCTCAGTACCAGAAACTCCAACACCCTCCCACAGACATGTATGCAGGCAAAATGCCAATGCACATAAAATAACAATAATAAAAACCATTATTCCACTGGGGGTGGAGATATACACCTGTAAGCACAGTATTTGGCATACTAAGGCAGAAGGGTTGTGAGTTTGAGGGAAGTTTGGACTAAATAGTGAGACCTTTTCACAAAAAAACAAACAAAACCCAAAAAACAAAAACAAACAAAAAAATCCATAAACAATCCATGAATCAAACTGATCTCTTCTTGTAGTCCTATAAAGATTTCAAGTTCAATAAGAAATCATTTATCTTTGTTTTAAAAACAATTGTTGGGGCTGGAGAGATGGCTCAGAGGTTAAGAGCACTGACTACTCTTCCAGAGGACCTGAGTTCAATTCCCAGCAACCGCATGGTGGCTCATAATCATCTATAATGAGACCTGGTGCCCTCTTCTGGCCTGCAGGGATACACAAAGACAAAACACTGTATATGTAATAAATAATAAATCTGAAAAAACAACAATTGTTAAGTCCTACTTTTGTGTACTTGCTGCCTTTCCTTTCCCGTTCTTTTGGTTTTAATTACACTGGAGGGGAGGGGCATGTGCATTTGGGCAGTGGAGGTCAGAGGCCAACTTGCAGGAGTGGGTTCTCTCTCCCCACCACGTGGGTTCCAGGGACTGATCTCAGGTCACCACTCTGGCAGCGTGTACTTTTACCCACGAGGCCATCCCCCCAGCCCAGCCTTTTCTCTCTCTTTCCTTTCCCGGTGGTGTTAGAATACCAGAGCCCACACGTCACAGGCATGTGCTCCACCTCTGATAGACCCCCAATCTTGACCTTCCCTGATGCTTCCATGGGTATCAGGATGAATTGGCTGAGAGAGCCTCTCTTATCCCACCTTTAAAGGACCAAATGAGCCGGGCGTTGGTGGCGCACGCCTTTAATCCCAGCACTCGGGAGGCAGAGCCAGGCGGATCTCTGTGAGTTCGAGGCCAGCCTGGGCTACCAAGTGAGCTCCAGGAAAGGCGCAAAGCTACACAGAGAAACCCTGTCTCGAAAAACAAAAAACAAAAAAAAACTAAAAAAAAAAACAAAAAAAAAAAACAAAAAAAAAAAGGACCAAATGATGGACCTTCCCAGAGGCACTTTCATTTCAAGTGCTTGGGAATCACTGTTTTACTGGAAACTATAAAACTGAGCCTTGCATGAATACATCACTAGGGTCTGACTACCTCCTTCAAAGTAAAAACAATTCCCTCTCAGTACTACCAGGAAAGTTCAAAATGCTTTCTGAAGGCTGCAGGGAAGGGCTGCTCTTGGAGAGCGCCCACACAGTGGGTCAGGACTGTCTGCATCTCCAGTCTCAGGGGATCCACTGCCCTCTTCTGGCCTCCCTGGCCCCAGGCACACAGGTGGAACACAGCCGTAAGTGCAGACGAAACTCCCATAAATAAACAAACCTCAAAAAGAAAAAGAGCCAGGAGTAGTAGCTCCCCTCTGTCACCCCGACACTTGGAGGCAGGGGCGGGGGTTTGCAGGCAGCCTGCAGACATCATGAGACCCCGGCTCAAAGACAAACTAAAGCAAACCAAACAACGGAGAAGGGGCAGCGCAGTGAGATGGTTTGGGCGTGAAGATTCTGACTGCCGAGCCTGCATATGACCTCATCCTGTGGAACCCATGCAGTGGTGGGAGGGAACTACTTCCCCCAAGACGTCTTCTGACCTCCACACATGCACTATGGTACACATCTGTCCATACGAATACACACACTACATAAATAATATCAAACAAGCTTTGAAAACAGAGGAAGGTATAATGTACCTAGCGGAGAAAGAAGTGACGGAAACCTCTCCGATTCCTTTCACTGCGGACACGACTTTGTCCAGGTCTTGGGTGTGGTTCACACTGACTTCTACTCGGTGGGCCCCCTCTGTGGGATAGTTAGGAGCTTTGGAGGGGTGGATGGGCCTGGCAGTGCAAGTTCCTGAGGAAAAAGTTGTGGGGACATCAAGGCTTTTGTAGTGCTTTAGAACTAAAGAGATAAACTATTCTAAGTAAAATCTATACGAAATGTCTCAGCATCCACTTTCCTGTTTATATATGTGAACATACACACATAACCATTAGATGCTCATCACTATATCTAAAAATCTGGTCTAGACACACAAAATAAAATCTATTTTCCCAATTATTTTCCAAAGACTCATATTTCAGGAAATCTTGGACAAAAAAGACTGAATCACTGATTTTTTTTTAAAAAAATTATCCACTGTTTGGTCACTCAAACCACAGTATAGATCACAAATACTTATATGTTGAACACATTTATAATGGCTATTTTATTATCAAGACGTCACAGTCCAAGGCCAAGTGTGGCGGTACACACTTTTAATCCCAGAACTGGGGAGTCAGAGGCAGGTGGATCTCTGTGAGTTTGAGGCCAGCCTGGTCTACATAGTAAGCTCCAGGTTAGCCAAGACTACACAGTGAGACTGTCTCAAAAAAAAAAAAAGAAAGGAAGGAAGGAAGAAAGAAAGGAAGGAAAGAAAGAAAAACAAAACAAAACAAAGAACCAAACCAAACAACAACAAAATTGCTTGAGCCCACATCGAGTATCGAAATGCTCACGGTACAGGATACAAGCGTTTAGTGAGATCCTGATGCTGTGCTGGGTGTGGTCGACACACTCACTCTAGCCTGGGAGACTGAAGCTGGGGATCCGAAGCTTGAGGCCCTTCTCTAGGTAAGGTGGGGGCGGGCAGTGGTGGCTCACCGGGGAAAGGTACTTGTCACATACGCCTCAGGACCCGAGTTCAGTTCCGGAAACCCAGGGTGGAAGGAGAGAACCCACTCCTGAAGGGTGTCCTCTGACCTCCACAAATGGGCGCTCCCACAGTCACCCCATAATAAAGATACGTAAAGAAGAGCAAAACAGCAAAGCAGACAGAAACCTTGGTGTCTAAGTAACTGACGCAGCAGGCGTATCCCGAAGGTGCTGAGCTTTGGTTCCAGAGCTGTGAGCGCCCGCCCGGGGTGCTGACACTGTCATCTGAATGACAGTCACCTAGCAATGACGCCTCACACTCGCTTATTCATCCCAGCGCTGGTCAGCTTGTCACAAGCCAAGGTCATCTGGGAAAAGGAACCGTCAATTGAAAACAATGCCTCCGTCAGACTGCCTGGAGGCAAGTCTATGGGGCATGTTCTTGATTAAGGGTTGATGTAGGAAGAAGACCCAGGACCCTGAGTAGGTGGTCCTGGGTTCTTTAAGAAAGCAGGCTAAGGGAGCCACGAGGGGCAAGCCAGTAAGCGGTGTTCCTGTGTGGCCTCCGCTTCAGTTCCTACCCTCACTTCCCTTCATGATGGGCTGTAAGATGAAACAAACCCTTGCCTTCTCAGGGTGCTTTTGGTCATGGTGTCTACCCCAGCTATAAAAGCAAATTAGGACAATCCTCTGCATAGAGTGCAAGCCAGCCTGAGCGGCACCAGACTCGGTAGCAAAACAACAAAAAACGTTCCATGGTTTGTTTTGCTTATGTTTTGGTGGGATGATGTGTGATGGGATTTAGGCAGTGTCTGGCTACATAGCTCAGGCTGGCCTTAAACCGAAGCTCTCCTGATTCAGCTTCCTGGGTGCTTAAAGAATAAGATTTCGGAGTACAGGCTTCTCCCACGCCAAGCCTAATTTACAATGTTTCATTTTTCTTTCTTAAAAGATTTTGTTTAGATTTATTTATTTCATTATTTTTATGTGTACAAATGTTCTGCCTGCATTATGTGTAGGCATCATGTGTGTGTGTCCACAGAGGTTAGAAGGGCATTGGTTCCCCTGGGACTGGGGTTACCGATGGTGGGGAGCCTCCATGTGGCTGCTGGGAACCCAGGTCCTCTGTAAGAGCTACAAAATGTTGCTTAACTGCTGAGCCAATTCTTCAGGCCCTATAAATAGTTCATTTTTCAAATAAAACTTGGGCTGGAGAGCTGGTTCAGTGGTGAAGAGTAGTACTTGCTCTTGCAGGGGACCTGGGCTTGATTCCCAGCGCCCACACAGAACTTCACAACGGTAAGGGAGGGTGGCCCCCTCGGAGTCGGTACAGGGCATAACTGGACAGGACATTCTCAGCATGGAGGAGCTTTGTTTCCTGGGGGAGGAGCTCTGCAAACAGCAGCAGGCACAAGCAAGCAAGCAGGTGCTTTTTGCAGAAGTGGGTTTTAAGGAGAAAAAGGTCTGTGCTAGGGTCAGTAGTCAATCCTGATTGGACATGTTGGCCAAATAATGAATTTTGATGGTTGGACCTGGGTGTTTTGTCTCAGGAATGAGTCAGTGGCCAAATAAGGGAATGGATTTCAGGGGCCAGCTTTAGGAGTGTGATCTAACGGTTTAGCAAGGGAGAAGGACAAAAGGCAAGACCCGTTGGCCCCACGTTCGCCGAGCTCAAGCCCGCTAGAGCCCTTCATCAACTGACTGTAACTCCAACTCGAGAGGATCCCGCACTCTCTTCTGGCCTTCATGAGCCCTACACACATGTGGTGCACTCCCATACAAGCAGACAAAACACTTAACGGATATAAAAATAAATACATTTTCAAGAGAAACTTAATTACCACATTTAAGCAACACATTATTTTATAAATAATGCACTGTATAAAAAACAGAAAAACTCCACTTCCCCTAAAAACAAAACTTTACTAGGAAGACATTCTAAAATTTCGAAGCATCTGTAGAGAAATCATTAACTATGGAAGGATACAATGTTTCTCACCAAGCCCCTTGGCCAACCAGCTGTTGACTCCCTGGGGTGCGGCATCATAGGCCGTGTGGGGGGAGTAGATGGCGACCCTGTTCTCCAGCGCCCGGATCACCAGGCGCTCCTTCCAGGTTTTCCAAGTTACGCGCTTCATGGCCCGGAAGATGGGCGGATGGTAGGAGAGAATGAGGTCGGCCTTCTTTTGCAGAGCCTCCTCCATGACCTCCTCCGTCAAGTCGTTGGTCAGGAAGAGTGTCTTCACAGTATGGGGAGGGCTCGGCTCCACCAGCAACCCCACGTTGTCCCAACTCTCAGCAAAGGAGAGGGATGCAAAGTCGTTCAAGGAGGAAAGGAGAGCCTTCAGATCCATGAAGGAGTGAGAAGAACTGCAGATCCAGGACGGGGCAAGCCGGATGCTCGTAGAGACCAGCTGTACAGAGGGCAGCATACAGAAACCAGGTAATCGTGCCGTGGCTGGTCAAAACACAGGAAGTGGTATTTACATACAGTTCAGCTCTGCACTTGGAGGCATCAAGAACATGAGTAAAAAAACTGTCACCAAGACCCAGATTCAAGTAGTGGCCGAGCTAAGTCATTTGATTTTTTAACTTTTTTTCTTTTTCTTTTCTTTTCTTTTTTTTTTTTTTTTTTTTTTGACAGAGTTCCTCTGTGTAACAGTCCTAGCTGTCCCTAAAATCACTTTGTAAACCAGGCTGGCCTCGAACTCACCGAGATTCACCGGCTTCTGCTTCCCAAGTGCTGAGATTTAAAGGCATTCACCACCACCACCACCAGCCGGCTTTTGTTTTTTTGAGACAGCGTTTCTCCATGTAGCCCTGGCTGTCCTGGAACTCGCTCTGTAGACCAGGCTGGAATCAAACTCACAGAGATCCAACTGTCTCTACTTCCCGAGTGCTGGGATTAAAGGCGTGCACCACCACCACGGCCCGGCTTAACCTTTCCCCTCATGTACAAAATGGAGACATGACAACCCACCTCACAGCCATCTAAAGAAACAAAGGCCTGAGTCTATCACCTGGCAAAGTCTGATAAAATACAAGTGCTCATCACCTCTTACACCCTCCCCACTCTCCCCACCACCACTTCACGCTCACACCCTGTATTTCTGTGCTGCGCTCACATCCACAGACACACACAAGGGTCCGGTCCCCAGCACCACAGAAACTGGGTATGGTGGCACATGTCTGTAACCCCAGCAGCTGGGGAGCAGAAACCGGGGATCTGAGGTTCAAGGTCATCTGCAGCTATCCGGTGAGTTCACGGCCAGCCTGGTTACATCCAGACCCTTTCACGAATGTTATTTAAAATGTAACATATTGAGTGCAAATGTAACATATTGAGTGCGTGAGCAAGAACTGAGGCAAACAGGTCACCACAAATGAGCACAGTCAAGGAAAGAAGAGGCCAGAGCTGCTGCCCCTGAATGAGCACTACCTGCTCCAGGAAGGAGAAGAAAAGCGTAGGCATTTACCCACATACTCTGTGGCCCTTCAACTGGAGGATGGGAGGGCGTGTCACAAAACAATTCAAAATAGACGACAAGTACATAGATATATTTACCATGTGATGGGTAATGAGTGATCTGGAAGTTAACAGTAGCTTTGAATAAAAGAAACGTGTTTGCCACAACCAGCTATCCAGGAAATTGGGAATATTTGGCCAGTTGTTACCAACAAAGCTGACGTACCTTGTGATTGACTTTATTGTCAGTCAATAAACGTCTATTGTGAGAGGACATGAATGTGTCCCTCTGTTTCTGACACGATGCGCTCACAATACAGTTACAATAGTTTCTGCACTAATATGGGGGCCTCCTGAAACCACCTGACAGCTTGAGAGGACTTCACCTCCGATTCTACACCGCACTAGTGAGTGTGAACGAGAACTCCTGGGAAGAAACTGTCTTCTGAAACGGACGGACTGAACTACAGGGCAGTGGAGAGGCTGAGCTGGTACAAGGCTAGACCCTAACTCTCGGGCTACCTTTAGCCCTCTGCACAGCCACTTGCTAATTTCAAGTTGCATGGGAGCCCTCTTTACCCTCGGGTGGGGCTCTGCCTTCAAGGCCGTCCGTGTCCAGAACAGTCAAGGGCCATAGGGCACAGCCTTTAATCCTTGAGTCAGGACCCTCTCCCCTCCGGCAGCCAGGGAGTGTTCCGCCCCAATCTCTCCCGCCCTCGTCCTCCGCGGCACCCGATCATCACTGCAGCCCGCTCTCATGTACAGCTTCAGCGAGGGGAACCCAGCGAGCCTTCCACGCGCCCACTACTCACCAGCCCCAGAAACTCCCCTGCGCGTCACTTCCGCCCTGCCCCGAAGCTCCGGGCAATGTAGGAAAGAAGTTGGGCGGAAGTGGTCCCGTGCGTTTTGCTTCCGACTCCGGAGACCCTGTATGGGGTTGCAGGGGGGCGGTAGCGGGTCGTTTCTTAGTGTGGCTGTCTGTGAAGCCCTCTCGCTGTCAGATGTGGGGCCGAGGGGTGAGGTGCATGCACGGTGCCCCCCCCCCCCCCGAGTCCTCGTCGGTGTGCTGAGAGGGGAGACTGACGGGGAAGTAGGTGTTCTCTGCAAAGGGGTCCGCGCTCCACTTCCGGTGGGGCAAACACTCTCAAATTGGAATCTGCAGACTCGCCGGCGCCTGCGATGAAGTCTTTACGGTTTCCGCAGCGGCGGTGCTGAGCGAAGTGTGTAAGTGTCGGGTAACGGGGTTTGTCCTTTTATTCGCGCACTCGGTGCCTGCTGCACCCCACCTGGGCGCCGTTTTATTTCTTGGGATCCTCGCGGTGAACTCTCGGGCTTCTGGGACCTTAGGTGCAAGAATGTCCTGTTAGCTAGTGACCACTGCTGTGGGAAAAGCAAATAGGGGGGGCGTGCGGGAAAGGCGCTTTTAAATACGATTGTCAGGTTGGTAAGACCTGGGGCTTGAAAAAGACCTATGAAGTGTGACATTTATTGTACAAGCGTCTTGAGTACAGTGGGCGTCCTGGGTAAAGGGAGCGCCAGCACCTCGCTAGACCAGTAGACCCGAAGGTGGGACTATGTCTAGCCTGCAAAAAGAGCCTTGAAGAAAAATGAGCTAAGTACAGTGTTTGGTGGTGGCGGTGGTGGTGGGGTTCTGTGTTGGGTAGGATCGCGCCACTACTGATCGGATTTTTATTTAAGAGGATGCTAGTGTAAGGTTTTCGTTGTAAATCTACCGTGGAGATGAACAAGGATGGTGGGAATTTTGGGTTCGCACGAACTAATTCCTCTTTCTTTTTGGATTGGAAACTCATCTTCAGGTTTTCTCTGCAAGCCTTTCTGGAACCAGCAAGAGGGGGGATGGTAAGTGTTGGAGAATTCTGCTAAGTGGGTGGTTGTTGGCTTGGTTTTATCCCCACCGGATTCCCTGGAGCTGGGGCCACCACTAGTGGGTGTGGGTGCTGGGAACCGCACAGGTCCTCCTGTGAAAGCAACAAGTGCTCTTCACGGCCAGGGCATCTCTGCAGACCATTTTTTTTTTAATGATGGATATTTTTTAGGAAGTCAGACAAGGTACTGAGTGTGTAGCTCCGTGGTGTGTGTACTAGGGTAGAGGGAACAGAGTAGGATAAGTAAGTATGATCATCACAGCATTTTCCTACTGGGGTGGTGGCACGCAGGAGGCTGGGACAGTATTGTGAGACCAGCCCTGGCTTCACAAGGATTGACTCAATGAATGAATGAATGAATGAATGAATGAATAAAAAGGGAAACCTCCAAATATTTTTTTGTTTGTCTCTGAAATAAGATATGAAACAAATAAAGTTACTAAGCAACACACACCAGAAAAGCACAGGCAAGTGAGGAAGCCCTGTGGCCGGCTCCACGAACCAGGACTGGGAAATGCTGACAGCTTCTGGTTTGTTGTTAGTAATGAAGGAACTGCTTTTTAACTCTGTTTCTCAAAATTAAACTGCCCTGAGGAAGTGGTGGAAATAGTTTTGAAAAATCAATTTCTTAAACATTTTCTCAGTTAAATATTAATGATATGGAGACCTAAAATCAGTAATAAAAGTCGGGCGGTGGTGGCACACGCCTTTAATCCCAGCATTTGGGAAGCAGAGGCAGGCGGATCTCTGTGAGTTCCAGGCCAGACTGGTCTACAGTGAGTTCCAGAACAGCTAGGGCTACACAGAGAAACCCTGTCTCTAAAAGGAAAAAAAAAGAGTAATAAATGTAACCATTGTTTTTAATATGTTTTTAATCATAAAAAATTCAAAGTAAAAATAATTATTTTGACTACAATATTTGCATCCAAAATTTAGCAGAGATGCCACTTTTCATCTATATGAATCTTCTAGAGATTTTTTTCCTGCTATTGAAGTAAACATGGAGAAATTAGTGTGACTTATCTGTCAGAGCCACTAAATGACTTAACAAGTCATTTTAATATCTTTAATATCTTTAATCAGATAGCCATCTTGAATATCCAGTCAGAAATAATACAGAAATTATGTTACTGGAAAAAAATACCATTTGTTCTCACATTCTCCTTTTTCAGTCTGTAACACTGCATACGGATGTGGGGGATATCAAAATAGAAGTCTTCTGTGAGAGGACACCCAAAGCATGTGAGGTGAGTGTCATTGTTTGCATATTAAAAATCAACTAATATGGTGGCTCGAGCCTTTAATCTTGGCACTCGGGAAGCAGAGGCCAGTGGATCTCAGAATTTGAGGCTAGCCTGGTCTACAGAGTGAGTTCCAGGCCCGGCAGAGCTGTATAGTGAGACCCGTCCTTAAAACAAACAGAAACACTCTCATATAACAGGACAGCCACTTTGAAATTGAATTATTCAGCCTAGGAAGTAAGAAAACTTTCTGCGAGCCCACTTCAGGAATAGCTCACCGTCATGGAGGTCTAACCTCCACCTCTGACACCAGAGTTAAAATAAGAGAAAGGAGGGTGGTCTGGGGGGCGACTCAGCAGCATGAGGACCGGAGTTCAAATCGCCAGAACTCACAGAAAGTGCTGGTGATCACGCGCACCTGTGGGGAGGGGGGGGGACACAAAGACAAGAGGATTACAGGGTCTGGTACACCAGCCAGCTCCAGGTTTGGTGAGAGACCCTGTCTCAACGGAAAGAGGCTGAGGGTGGTAGATTACTCATCCTTCTCTTGCTTCTGCACACACACACACACATACACACACACACACACAGGAACACGAACACGAACGAACACGAACACATATACCACAGGCACACCACACATACTAAATAAATATAAATAGGTAGGTGCTTCTCCCGTAACCATAAAGTGTCCAGTGTCTTTTCTCTTTTGTCTCATTTTTTCAGGAAATGTAATTAAGATATGAGAGACTTGTTCTGTAATATTTAGCCTGTTGACATGACAAGGATAAAAGGAAGAGTCAACTATTTTTCACTCATGCAGTTATCTGTCAAAAGACTCTTCCAGCCGTGTCTAGGGTACAGTGATGAGCAAGAGACATCGTTCCCTGCCCTCAGAGAGCTACTGCTCCAGCTGGGAAAGGCAAGGGTAGGAAACCAGGCGACTGCAAGAGAGAACAGTGTCGTGCAGAGTGCAGGACAGGGGCACGCAGGGCTCCCCAGGACCTGCTCCAGACCGACTGTCTTATTCCCAGAGGCAGTGGCTAATGCCTAAAAGTCATAGTGCGATATTGTTTTCAGGGTCTAGGATTGGACCTTTATCTGCTGAAGGTTGTTTCTGCCTAAACCATTTCTCAGTCACTGTTCTTATTCTCTTCAGAATTTCTTGGCTCTTTGTGCCAGTAATTACTACACCGGCTGTGTATTTCATAGGAACATCAAGGGTTTCATGGTTCAAACGGGAGATCCCACAGGTGAGTTTCCACTACCCGAAATTAGGATGGTTGGATATGTCATAAGAAAAAAATGTGTAAAACAACTGAAAAACATGGTCTTTATAGCAAGGCTACTTCGACCATCACAGAAAAGCTTAGGGGTTTTGTTTTAAAGATATGTTTATTTTTAGGCTGGGCTGTGGTGGCGCCCACCTTTAATCCCAGCACGCGGGAGGCAGAGGCAGGCGGATCTCTGTGAGTTCGAGGCCAGCCTGGGCTACAGAGCGAGATCCAGGAAAGGCTCAAAGCTACACAGAGAAACCATGTCTCAAAAAACATATATATGTGTGTGTGTGTATATAAGTACTTTGCCTAGATGTATATAAGTGCACTGCATGCCTATCTGGTGACTCTGTGTGTGTGTGTGTGTGTGTGTGTGTGTGTGTGTGTGTGTGTGTGTGTGTATTTTGCCTAGATGTATATAAGTGCACTGCATGCCTATCGGGTGACTGCTCAGGCCAGCAGATGGTATCAGATCTCCCGAAACTGGAATTTCAGATGATTTTGAGCCAACCATGTGGATGCTGGGAACTGACCCCAGGACCTCTATAAAACAGCAAGGGTTCTTTTTTTTTTTTTTGAGATTGTATTTTAATTAGAACATTACTCCTTTCCATTTCATCAACACCCGCCCCCCAAAACCTACCATGTGCTCATCACTGGTCTCCTTTCTTGTCACCGGTTGTTACTGCATGCATGCATGTATTTGTATGTATTTGCATGTATTTGTATGGACATATTATCCAGGCTAGTTTTTCATCAGCAGACACAAGCTGAAGCAGAGGTTCCTTTTCACAGGAGGGGAGGAGGTGTCGCCTAAGACCATCGGAAAACAGATTTATATTACAGTTCATAAGAGTAGCAAAATTAGTTATGAAGTACCCACGAAAATAATTTTACAGCTGGGGGTCCCCACAACATGAGGAAGTGTATTAAAGGGTCGCAGCATGAGGAAGGTTGAGAACCGCTGAGCTAGAGTCATCGGAGAGGAGAGAGCCTCACTTGAGGCAATGCCTCCTCCATGAGATCCAGCTGTAGGCAAACCTGGAGGGCATTTTCTTAATTAGTGATTGATGTGGGAGGGCCCAGCCCCCAGCCCATTGCCGGTGGGGACATCCCTTCCCAAATATAACCCGTTGAGTCTGTACACTGTTACTTGTATGAACGTCTTCAGGGCTGAGCACTTGGCACTGGACAACCCTTTTGCATACTCTCCCCTGGGGAGACCACCTCCCCTGCTCCCAGCTCTCCTCCGTTCTCCGTAGGGCTGACTCCTCAGGGGCGCTCCCCCTCCTTCCCTCCATGCAGTTCAGCATGTTGTTGTTCTCCTTCTCGGTCAGCTCAGCAAGTGTTCTTAACACTGTTTCTGGTTTTTGAGACAGGGTTTTGTCACCTAGCCCAGATGGGCCTCGAACTTTCAATCCTCCTGCCTCTACCTTATGGGTGTTGGGAATACAGCCATGTACCATAATACATTAATTATGAGATTAATGTATTTGGTTTGATCCAGCCAGCAGCAAGACACTTTTAGAAGGTGCTATTACTGCTGTAAAATCTGAGCAGTATTAATGAGAGGGTTTTCTCCTTGTTGGGAGGATTTTATTTTTCTGGTCTATACTGTTAATTTGAGGGGAGTGCTAAAAGGCCAGATGGTGTATGGGTCTGCCATCTCAGATACCTGGAAGACTGAGACAGGAGGGTTGTAAGTTCAAGGTCAACCAGGATAATTTAAGGAAACCCTACCTCAAAAAATATTAATTAAAAAAGAAAAAAAAGATGGGAATGCTGGAGCTATATAACTCAGTGGTAGAACACTTGTGTAGCATACACCAGGTCCTGTGTTCAAACTTTAACACTCTCTCTCTCTCTCTCTCTCTCTCTCTCTCTCTCTCTCTCTCTCTCTCTCACACACACACACACACACACACACACACACACACACTTGCATTTGAAGAGTCCTGCTAGGGTTGGATTATAGTTCCGTGGTTGTGTGTTGCCCTGGGTTAGATCCCCACCAGTATATATAAATAAATATATGGTATAAAGCAGCCCCCAGGGCCGCCCCCCCCACCCAGCCCCCGCCCCACTAATTAGACGTTTCTTTTGATTTGCTTGTCTTGTTCTACAGGCACTGGAAGGGGAGGCAGCAGTATCTGGGGCAAGAAGTTTGAGGATGAGTACAGTGAATATCTGAAGGTATCCCTGTGTTTCTGGTTACTTTTTTTTTTTTCCTCGAGACAGGGTTTCTCTGTGTAACAGTTCTGGCTGTCCTGGAACTTGCTTTGTAAACCAGGATGGCCTTGAACTCAATGAGATCTGCCTGCCTCTGCCTCCTGAGTGCTGGGATTAAAGATGTGAAGCCACTAGGCCTGCCTAAGTAAATACTTTTTATTAAAAACAACTAGTGCCCAGTTGTGGTGATGTGTTGATAGACAAATGCTGAAGATGAGTCAGGAGGATTACTAACTTGAGACCAAGTCTAAGCTATGTAGACTGGAAGATTTCCTGTCCTGACCAGCAAAGCTATATCTTTTTCTTGATCTGGGGACATAACTCTGTTGACAGAATGGTTGACTCTCAGGCAGAAAGCTTTGGTTTCAATCCCCAGGGCTACATGAACAAAGCATGGTGTGCACACCTGTCATCCCAGCATCAGAGAGGTAGGGCAGGACGATCAAAAGTCTAAAATCAATCTCAGCTACATAATGAATTTGAGGCTAGCTTCGGCTACGTGAGACCCTGTCAAAAGACCATTGTCCGGGGCTGGAGAGATGGCTCAGTGGTTAAGAGTCCTGAGTTCAATTCCCAGTAACCATATGGTGGCTCACAACCACCTGTAATGAGATCTGGTGCCCTCTTCTGGCCAGCAAGGACACATGCAGACAGAACGCTGTATACTTAATAAATAAAAAAATAATAAATAAATAAATCTAAAAAGAAAAAAGTAAAAAAACAAAAAGCCATTGTCCTACACATCAAAGTTGAGGATGGGCTTTCAAGGTTCACGTACTGTATATGCCAGAGGAGCTCTTGTACGTATACTCCCAGAGACACATGCCATTAACTATCAAATGAAAACATTTTAGCATATCCAGTAGCATAAAGGCATACCGCAGTCTTTGTACTGTGTAGCTCTGGCTGGTCCCAAACTAGAAATCCTCCTACCTCCGCTCCCCTTTTGCTGAGGTTCTAGGCACGTGCCACCACACCTGAGATCAGGATGTATTATTTTGATGGAGCTGCATGCACCTCCCTAGCTTTCCTAGCAAGTGTCACCTGATGAACAGCCAATGCTGGAGCGGTCAGTGGTCAGTTATATGTTTTGTTGTTGTTGACTGGGTATCTCTATGGCACAGTTCAGACTGATCTCTATTTATTTCAGTAAGGTACTTTCAATTTTCATTTACCATGCCTTGTAAACTAGGAGTACTGATAATGTTAGAGTTAGGTGAGACCTTCCTCAGATCATCCAGTCCTGAGGTAATAAATTGGTTGACTGGCCATAGGAGGAAGATTCACTGATCTTTCTAGCATTCTCTATCACCATTAAGAAAAAAATCCATGGGCAAGAGGTACGCTATTGACTTTACCAGACTCCATCTCTGCCCAGTTTTCCGTGTGCGATCTGCTTGACCCTTGTGAGCATCTATGTTTTGACCCCTGAGCTAGTCCAGCTCCCTTGTTTCAGAGGTGAAGAAACTAGCCTAGAGTCCAGTATCCAAGAAGAGATTTGGGGGATTGGGTTTAGTTGCCTGATCATTTCTTCATTCAAGCACACTATTCCCTAGTACAAATGTAAGGAATCTTTCTGTTACACGGTGATAGAAATAAAAGTGTTTGTGACTACTTCTCCAAAGTGAAAATGAAATTGATTGGAAGATGTGATAATTATAAAAGCAAATGATAGTCAAGGTTATCAGAGATAAAGATAATACAGTCTTCACGTGTGGATTAATACTGAGAGGAAAGCTGGCTAAACCATCTCTTGGTCCCCTGAAGACTGAAAAGGCAGAGAATGTTTCAGTTTGCCTTTGGAATTTGCAGGTGACAGCCCCGTTAATGCCTTGGTTTGTCTTTGTTTAGCACAACGTCAGAGGTGTTGTATCTATGGCTAATAATGGCCCAAACACCAATGGATCTCAGTTCTTCATCACCTATGGCAAGCAGCCGCATCTGGACATGAAATACACAGTGTTTGGAAAGTGAGTGTCCCAGTCATCTCTTTGTTCGGCACGTCAGTATGCTGCCTGTGATCGTGGCACAGTTAGTGCTGGAAACACTGGTTGGACTGTAAAGTACCTGGGCTTTAGGCCACCAGTCACCAGCTTTCCGACCCTGAGGAAGCAGACACTATCTGAGCTTCGCTTTCTTTATTTTGTTTAAGAGGAACCTAAGAATGGCTTAGCATGTTTTGCAAATTAATAGTGGTGTGTGTGTGTGTGTGTGTGTGTGTGTGTGTGTGTGTGTGTGTGTTTTCAGCAAGAACAACATTTAACAGCAAGCAACACATCTGAAAACCGTGACGTAAGAAACTGGACTGCCATGATGACTGTCACCAGTGTCCAGGCACCTCTTGCTTTTCAGCTGTCCTTGGTTTCCCTTTCACGATCACCTCATGGTTATCCAGGTAGCACAGCTGTCAGAGCATGTGTCAGGAAGAAAGGAGGAAGAACTAAAGGGTGTCTCACACCCCCCACACCCCCCACCCCACCCCACCCCGAGACAGGGTTTCTCTGTGTAGCTTTGCGCCTTTCCTGGAACTCGATTTGGAGACAGGCTGGCCTCTAACTCACAGAGATCCACCTGGCTCTGCCTCCCGAGTGCTGGGATTAAAGGCGTGCGCCACCACCGCCCGGCCATTGACCCACGTTTCACGTTTTTAGGCATTTCAATCCATGATCATTTGCTCCAGTGTTTTGGCCTGTTCAGTACATCATGGCAGCATGCGGTGGACCAAAACTTCTCCCTTCATGGCCAAGAAGCAAGAAAGAGGGAAAGAGATATGCCCCGCCTCTTTTTTCCTTTGTGTGTGTGTAATATACGTATGCGTGTGTGCGTGCAGATGCAAATGTACATGAGCATGACTGTGAAGGACACAGCGTGGTACCAGGTGGCTTCCTTAATCTCTCACACTTCTGGAGCTCACTGATGCAGCTAGACTGGCTAGCCAGAAAGCCTGAGGGACCCTCCTGTCTCCACCCAGCCAGCTCTGGGATTGTGGGTGTGCAGGGGGTTGAACTCCTATCCTCACGCTTGCACAGGGGCCATCTCTCTGGGACCTAGACTCTCTCTTCAAGGCTTCAGTACTTACAGTAGTCCCGAGCTGGTGACCACGCCTCCAGCACATGGACTTCTGACGGACACTCAAGTTCCCAACCACAGCAGCAGGTGTACATGTCCTCGAGGTCGCCCAGTTGTCATGAGAAAGAGCTGGGGAGGTGTGGGCCCCGAGACGCCTGAATTCAGGGCCGCTTCACTTCCGTAGATGGGACTGGCCTTGATACTCCATTTTGCCACGTGTGTCCAGGAGGGGCGTTCAGCCAAGGCACCTGATCAGAAGAGAAAGCGACACTGAGGTGGAGCACTCTCCTCTGGAGACTGTAATTGCTATAGATACTTTGTATTTCAAGCTGAGAAAAGTTTCACATACCACATTGTTTCTCTTTCAGGGTAATAGACGGTCTGGAGACTTTGGATGAGCTGGAGAAGTTACCAGTAAATGAGAAGACATACAGACCTCTCAATGATGTCCACATTAAGGACATAACGATTCATGCCAACCCATTTGCTCTATAGCTGTAATAGACCTGGGCAGACACTTGGCAAACTCTTCACTGGAACACACCCATTGTAATGGGTTTATCCAGTTCTGATTATGTCAGAGACTCTGGTCCTTCCGGTGTTCACAGTAATGATGTCCATCTGGGAGACCTGTAGCATTCACCCCCAGTCGTGAGCATATTCTGTACCACTGCTATTGTTCAGTATGTTTAATTTAAATACAACAAAGCAATGCCTTGTTTTTATTAGATGTGAGTATCTATTTTTAAATGCTGACCTCAGGTGCGGGCACTTTTTTGAGCACACAAACCACATACCATGACCATGCTAATCTGTATCCTGGAAGTACTGTTTTTCCTTCACAATTCACTGCAGTTAGGAGGAAAGCTGGCCTGTCGAGGTAGCACATGCCTCTAAGCCCAGCACTTGCGAGGCTGAGGCAGGCTCATGGATTAAGCCCAGCTGTACTACAAAGCAAATCCTGACTGAAGAAAGGACAGAAGAGAACCCTGCTAAGGATATGGTCTAGGAAGGCCAGCCAGCCTGCCCTCTGCTGTCTGGGGGAGGTTGGGTGTTTCGTTTATTCTGTTTGGGTGGTGGCTGGTTCTGAAGTAATGTTGGTAGATTGCCCAAGCCGACTTCCTCCTCTCAATCCTTTGTCTCTCTAATGCTATGGTTACCTTTTTTTTTTTTAAACATAAAAACAGGTTATAATTCAAAAGTCCAGGGTTATTTTAAACTTGCAGGGCGTTTACCCACCAACCCCACAGTTCCCCAGAGTTTTCTTGAGTGAGAGCAGCAGGAAATATTAGATAGAAGGATTTAGAGTGGAGAGATAAACAGATAGAAAATAAAGGATAGCCTCGAGAGGGCCTGGAACCTTTTCCAACAAGTCCTGACTGTCTCTGCCCCAGGGTATTTATAGAGACGCCAAGGGGTGGAGCAAAAGACACCCCCAACCCCCCAGAACAGCCAAGTCCAGACCATCTCACACACCTGCACTCAGGCCCGTGGTCCAATCATCCTCTCTAGCAGACCTGCTGGGTAAAGCCACAAGGAACCTGAAAATGGGTTCCCACAGAAACTGGAAAATATTTTCTCTGTAGAAAATAGTAAAAATAATATTTCCCAATAAGCCCTTTTAAGCCAAATAATAGCTGAATTATACATATAAATATTTATTAGATTCTGGGATACAGAAGAAACCTATCTTCATCTGTTCAGAGAGCTATGTTGTTCTTAAGTTGTGTAAGTGAGATTCCTATTCATCTTCCCCTTCACTGATTTATGGCAGACATTTTTCTACAGGCTAATCCAGAATCTAAAAAGATTTTAGCCTCCCCTCCTGAAAGTATGGCCAGCATATTCTTTCATCAGCTTGATACGTTACAAATTCTTATCCTAATAGTGAAATGTTTCACTAAAGCTTGCCCAGTGATTGGTCAAAACCAAAACTTATTATTAGCCACAGTCATCCTAGGGTCCCCCCTGCGAGGTAGCCTCCCTGGATCTGTGGGTTGCAGTCTGATTGTCCTTTGCTTTATATCTAGTATCCACTTATGAGTGAGTACATACTATGTTTGTCCTTCTGAGTCTGGGTTACCTCACTCAGGATGATATTTTCTAGTTCCATCCATTTGCCTGCAAATTTCATGGTCATTGTTTTCCTCTCTGAATAGTACTCCATTGTGTATATTTACCACATTTTCTTAATCCATTCTTCAGTTGACAGGCATCTAGGTTGTTTCCAGGTTCTAGCTATTACGAGTAATGCTACTATGAACATAGTTGAGTGTGTATCTTTGTAGTATGATTGAGCATTCCTTAGGTATATGCCCAAGAGTGGTATGGCTGGGTCGTTTGGTAGATCGATTGCCAATTTTCTGAGAAACCACCATACAGATTTCCACAGTGGTTGTACAAGTTTGCACTCCCACCAACAGTGGAGGAGTGTTCCCCTTGCTCCACATCCTCTCCAACATAGGCTGTCATTAGTGGTTTTGATCATAGCCTTTCTGACAGGTGTAAGGTGGTATCTCACAGTCATTTAGATTTGCATTTCTCTGATGACTAAGGATGTTGAACATTTCCTTAAATGTCTTTCAGCCATTTGAGAGAAAGGTGCCTGCACTAGGTACCTTTCTAGTTATGTGCTTGTAGTGGCCAGATCAGGTCACAGCTCCACCCCCTACCCTGCACCTAAAAACTATTTGGTGTAGCTGCTGCCAATGACAGGACACCCTGGGCCGCCACCCTCCGGAGCCTGGCCACCTGGCAGCCCGGCTCCACTGCCGCCACTGCCACTACTGTCATCGCCATTCCATGCACAACCGTCACCATTGTTTGGTGTATTACCTCATCTGTTGTGATCCCAGCAGTTCTGCCCGGAACTGACAGGTAGGAGTTGCCTGGGTTAGTGTTTGATTCACAGGAGCCGGTTCAGGGAGCTGAGTCAGCTCACACCAGACCTGTTTTGGCACTACACCTGCGACAGACACCTCCTGGCTGAACAATGCCACTACACCCTGGTTAATTACATCTGGAACAGCTGGGCACTTCAAACAATCTCTTGAGGATCTTATCTGAGGTAACTTTGTACCTTAAACTGACAAATAAATAAACACATAAAAAAAATTTTCTTCACAAATTTTAATTCTCATGCCATGGTGGATAATATAAATTTATGAATTTCCAACATTTCTTTGTTTAAACTATGGATGAAATTTTACAAGACAAATACGACCTTCCTGGGATGTATACAGTTTTCACCATATTGGCGATTAGCATAGTAATTCATATCATATCATTGAAAAAATGGTTTACTAATAACACCAAAAATGAGACATTAATAGGACTGATTCAGATTTGCAAAGTGGTATTGAGAACTTAAACAAAAGGATTCTTTCTTTGGAATCTGCTAATTTACTGCTAATAATAACTGGACAACCAGATTTAATTCCATTGATAATAAATGTGAATACGCCGGGCGGTGGTGGCGCACACCTTTAATCCCAGCACTCGGGAGGCAGAGGCAGGCGGATCTCTGTGAGTTAGAGGCCAGCCTGGTCTATCAAGTGAGTTCCAGGAAAGGCGCAAAGCTACACAGAGAAACCCTGCCTCGAAAAACCAAAAATAAATAAATAAATGTGAATACCTAATGGACAGAACAGTAAATCTCCAGAGCAATCTTAATGCCATACAGATCATTTCTTTTTTTTCTTTTTTTTTTTTTCTCGAGACAGGGTTTCTCTGTGTAGCTTTGCACCTTTCCTTGGTCTTACTCTGTAGCCCAGGCTGGCCTCGAACTCACAAAGATCCACCTGCCTCTGCCTCCCAAATGCTGGGATTAAAGGCGTGTGCCACCACCTCCCGGCCATACAGATCATTTCATTTCTAAGGAAGAACGATCATCATTAATTGATAGAATAAAATCTTTGGAATCAGCTCTTTTGAAAGAACATAAAGAAACTGTTTAATTCCTTGAAGTCATTGGAATCATTCACAGTACAGGAAGTACAGACTAGAAAAAGTTGAAGTTAATTGATTTCAAGCTTTGGAGGAGTCCGTGAGAACTAGTAATAAGGGTGCTAACCAATAGAAGGTCAAGGCTAAAGAGGTCATAACATCGCCAGTGCCTCACGGAGTTAGAGATGATTTTCCAAAGGTAACAATAGGTGGTGCTGTGGTTTACCCTGTCACTGTTTGTGAAAGCCAGCCAATGATAAACACCCTGAAGGGTATGTACAATATATCTGGCAGCCTATTCATATGAGAGATTTAAGGAATATCAAGGGAGCTGTAGTTCCCTATGGTATACATTCAACATATGTGAAACAGATGGTAAATATGTGTTCTTCCACAAACAGGATCACACCTAATGATTGGAATCAGTTATTATCTGCTGTGTTAGAATATAGCCAGCAGTTATATTGGAAAAGCTAAGGCTTGAACAGCAAGGTAAGATTAGAGGTTTTGAGATCTCCCAAGACCAAATTCTTTATTATTTTTATTTTTTATTCCCCCACACACACTGGGCATTTCTAGATGCTCAGACCATTTCTTTTTTTTTAATTAATTTATTTTTTAAATTCCACTCATATTAATCACATTTGTGGTATTCATAGATTACATTCGCAGTATTCATTCAATTATATATATATATATTTAATTTTAAATGTCGAATGTCATTTCTTGAAGAGGGTAGGAGGTTAAATACAGGCTTACAGCACAATGGGAGGACCCCGGAGGGCAGAAGTTCGCTACTGATGTTTTACAATCTTGCATCTAAGCTGTTAACGCCCATTATTCAGGATACACAGACAAGGAACTTCCTTAAGCATTCAGGAGGGTGGAACCCGGCAGGGAATTAGCATTGGGAGGCCAGGCCAAGACCAAATTCTTGGTGAGGGCTACTTTGCTGATATAAATGCACAATTTATCTTTGATGAGCATACGTTATCCATATGCCATACAGCAGCTTTAAGTGCTTGGGAAAAATTCCAGAACCAGGGAAACCAACTGAGCTATATATGAAGGTCTTCCAGGAGTCAAAAGAACCATTTACTGATTTTTTTTTTCTACAAAGACTGACCAAGGATATAAACAAGGCAATATCAGACCAAGAATTAAGACAAGTATTAACTCAATCTTTGGCTTTTGATAATGAAGGATACTTGTACCTTTAAAGATCAGATCAGCACCCATAGAAGAATGAATCCAATACATAAACAATATTGAGTCTATTAGCTATGGTAATGAGGCTTGGATAGGAGAGGTGATTTCCAAAGGTAAGAGGAGGCATCAAAGTACCAAATGTTTTAGCTGTGGTAACCAGGTTATATAAGAAGAAATTGCACACGGGTGCTCCTAGAAGTAGTGTTTCTTCTAGAAATAACCAAACAGCAGACCCCAGCCTTCTGGATTATGCAGAAGATGTGGCAAAGGCCAACACTGGACCAAGATTGCAGATCAACAAGAGACATGAGGCAACCATTTATCAGTGGGAAATGACTTGGGGGGCCTCTTGCAGGCCCCTAAATTGAATGGGGTCCAAATATTTTCAGCCACTGTGGAGGAAATTCCTCCCCAGGACAATTAAATAACACAGCGTCTAATGTAAAGAACGACATTGCACTGGATGATAGAACAGTCTTGATAGATGTATCAAAATTTCCAAAAAACACCATAAAATAATTATTTTGGAAGACTTCCATAAATGAACAAAGACCAAAGCTTAGAGTGCAAATTA